GGGAGATTTACTGACCCAAGGTTCACACCAAAGTGTTTTCTGTAGCGTTTTGCAGAAATGCACAGCGGTCCAGTTAACATGATTTCTTATGGGACATGTTCACATCGCCACGTTTTCACCTGGTGCATTTTTTGGAAAGGGTCAGCGAGTTTTTTAATTCAAAACATTGCGTTTTTGGTTCTATAAACTTCAATGGGAACGCTGCAGAAAAGCATGTATTGCATTTTTGATGCATTTTTGCCACATTTTTTGATGCATTTTGCATTTAAAATCTGCCTAGCAACAAGAAAAATTTAGAAAAATGAAAAAAAAAAAACCCAGCAAAAATGCAACACAAAACACAATGCAGAAACGCATCAAATGCAACCTGCATAGGTTTGAACATAGAGTGAACTGGAGTACTCAGAATCTGGTGCAGCTGTGGATGATAGCCAATCAGCTTCTAACTTCAGCTGGTTCAATTAAGCTTTGACAATAAGCCCTGGTTCACATATATACGGCTGCGTGGGCCGCGTTTTGCGCGGGCACGAGAGCCCATTCATTTGAATGGACTCCCGTGCTCTGGGACACGCAGGGAAGAAGTCCCTGTACTTTTTTGGAAAGAGCAGCCCACACAGGAATCTCGGTTCCCAGTGCGGTTGCAATTTCCAGCGCGGGGGGATTACCATTAGAATTAATGGCACCCGCCCGTGGGTCCGCATTCTTCTGTGCGGGTGGTGCGGGTGCATAGATTTTTGTGCGGATCCACCCGCACATATGTGAACATATGTGAACCTAGCCTAAAACCTGGAAGCTGACTGGTTTCTATGCAGAGCTACACCAGATTTTGCACTCTTCAGTTTTAGTAAATCAACCCCAGTAACTCCATCCGTTCTCTATAGTACCCATATTCTATGCGAGCATTCCATATCAGTGTATAAATGTAGATCAAACTGACAGTATTTCTGACTTGTAATTTTAGCAAGCTTGCAGGTTTAATTTCCACAGGGAATACTCCTATGTAATTCCTCAAGCTAAATGTTTTTTTTTGGGGAGCTGGCCCCATCCCAACATCCCAACTCAAAACCATGCAGGTAGATTAACTGGATTCTTCCTAATCTTTTTTAAAAACTGGAAATTCTTCACAGCCAGTTTCCACAGATTACTGTATTACCTGATCATATTGTCTGTATTTCTACCCAAACCGGCCTTTCTGTGTGTTTCTGTATGCCTGTGATAAGTTCATGAGGCTGCAAGTTCCCATATGAGTAGGTACAGATATGCATTCACTATAGATAGTGTGGTACAGTTGCAAGAAAAAGTATGTGAACCCCTTGGGATTACGTGGAGTTTTGCATGAATTGGGCATAAAATGTGCTCTGAACGTCATCTAAGTCACAACAATAGAAGAACACAGTCTGCTGAACATAATACTACACAAACATTAGATGTTGCCATGGTTTAATTGCACATAACATGTAAACATTCACAGTGCAGGGAGGAAAAAGTATGTGAACCTTTGGACTTAGTAACTGGTTGACCCTCCTTTGGCAGCAATAACCTCAACCAAACGTTTCCTGTAGTTGCAGATCAGACCTGCACAACGATCTGGAGTCATTTTGGACCACTCCTCTTCACAAAACTGTTTCAGTGTAGCAATATTCTTGGGATGTCTGGTGTGAATCGCTCTCTTAAGGTCATGCCACAGCATTTCAATCGGGTTGAGGTCAGGACTCTGACTGGGCCACTCCAGAAGGTGTATTCTGTGCTGTTGCAGCCATTGTTTTGTTGAATTACTTGTATGCTTTGGGTCATTGTCCTGTTGCATCACCCATCCTCTGCGGAGCTTCAGTTGGCGGACAGATGGCCATACGTTTTCCTGCAAAATGTCTTGATAAACTCTGGAATTCATTTTCCCATCAATGACAACAATCCGTCCAGGCCCTGAGGCAGCAAAGCAGCCCCAAACCATTATGCTCCCTCCACCATGTTTTACAGTGGGGATGAGGTTTTGATGTTGGTGTGCTGTTCCTTTTTTTCTCCACACATAGTGTTGTGTGTTCTTCCCAAACAACTCAATCTTGGTTTCATCTGTCCACAGTATATTTTGTCAGTAGTGCTGTGGAACATCCAGGTGCTCTTTTGCAAACTTCAAACGTGCTGCAATATTTTTTTTGGACAGCAATGGCTTCCTCTGTGGTGTCCTCCCATGTACTCCATTCTTGTTTAATGTTTTCCTTATTGTAGATGTGTCAACAAAAATGTTAGCATGTGCCAGAGATTTCTGTAGGTCTTTAGCTGACACTCTGGGATTCTTCTTTACCTCATGCAGCATTCTGCGCTGTGCTCTTGCAGTCATTTTTACAGGACGACCATGCCTAGGAAGAGTAGCAACAGTGCTAAACTTTCTCCATTTGTAGACAGTCTGTCTTACCGTGGACACATGAACATTAAGGCTTTTGGAGATACTTTTGTAACCCTTTCCAACTTCATGCAAGTCAACAATTCTTGATCGTAGGTCTTCTGAGAGCTCTTTTCTGCGAGGCATGGTTCACATCAGACATTGCTTCTTGAAACCAGTAAACCCAAAACAGGTGTGTGTTTTTTAAGGGAAGGACAGCTGTCAGCAACACATCCAATATCATCACACTGATTGGAGTCAAGGTTGGCTCACTCCTGGCTCCAATTAGCTCTGGGAGAAGTAATTAAGCTAGGGCCTCACATACTTTTTCCTCCCTGCACTGTGAATGTTTACATGTTATGTGCAATTAAACCATGGCAACATCTAATGTTTGTGTAATATTATGTTCAGCAGACTGTGTTCTTCTATTGTTGTGACTTAGATGACGTTCAGAGCACATTTTATGCCCAATTCATGCAAAACTCCACGTAATCCCAAGGGGTTCACATACTTTTTCTTGCAACTGTATATGTACAAAATTAAATGAAAGTAGGCACTGGCCCTTTAAACTGTGAAATAGTTTTATGGATGACCATTTTCATATTGTCTATATTTTAATTATTTTTGTCTTGCCATTTATATTTCACAGTTTAAAGGGATAGAACCTACTTTTTCATTTTGTATATGTTAGCACTACCACTTAGGAGTCGCTGAAGATTTGAGTTCCCCTATAGTCCTGCACAGCCGGGCAACACGCATTTCCATACAGACTTGCATTCAGTAGACAGTAACCACTCCTTGAGCTTGTTTTTTGGATTTTATTAGGGAAATTGAACTTAGATGGGGTAAGGGTGTATGGGATGCTAAAGGGTATGACAACAAAGGACAATGTTCCTGAACTATGTACAAGTCTCTTTTGGCAGCAAAAGAACAAATCCTTCTCCTTGAAGAGCTAGCCAGCGTCTCCTGTAGTACCACCCCAGACCCCAGATACTCCTTATCCAGCTGTTCTAGGTGAATCCCTGGGCAGGGGATCCAGTGCCTGTCACTGCAATGTGAACAGTCCTCGGTAAATAGCTAATCCAGTTTTCCACCAGAGTGTCTCTTTCCCCTTACTGGCCCTGGAGGTGCAGGTCTACTCACTCAGTCCTTCTCCTATGCTGCTGCTGGGTCAATGACTGCTGCCAGACGTTCTAGCTGGGCTGCTCCTTCCCATCTGCATAGGTGGTCCTCTCTCTGGGGGCCAGTGAGGTCCCAAGCTTTCCTCCTTCCAAGGTCCTCCACCTGTCGGTGAGCCCCTCTTCATCTGGGCTCCATCACAGGCTCCTGCTCTTCAGCCTCACTTCTCCATCTTCCACCTGCAATCTCCTGCTACTGAGCAGGTTCTGGCACTTTTAAGGGCTGTCCTGACCCCAAGCCAAGTCTCCTGTTGGGGATTAGTCAGGTTCCCTCAAGTGTGCAGACCAGCCACTCCTCACCTCCGCATGCTGCTTCTAGAACTTTCTCCAAAGTTCTAGTGCAGGGGAAAGCCTCAGAGAGCTGATCTGCAGAGCCTCTCAGCTCTGACTGAAATTTTGCCTTGCTAGCTATCACACCAAGGCCACTACTCAGCCCTCCTAACTAACAATATAACTCTAGCTCCCCCTAGCTACCTAGAAGGGTGCTACATATATTTTGTAGTGTTGTTTTGCACTTAAATGGCAGCTGCCTTGGTAATGTTTATATGGTTTGGGGTTGGCGCTCGCTCATATCATTTTAAGGGTGGTATATGTGCTGCACAAGTTTTGTTGATACTCTATTAGTGAATTAAATAAATCCTCTCAAATGGGCACAATGCAACATTCAACAACTTGTACAGGGCCAATGGCACAGCTATCATCTAAGCTGCTTATACAACTGCCTAACGTCTTTTTTTTTTTTTTTTTATTTTAAAGGTCTGATTTGGCTTGCTTACTCAGCCATAAATTCACAGAATGCAACAGGGATAGCTTATTCTATTTATTTATTATTATTTTTTTTCCATTTTGGTTAGAGTATGGGAGGGTTATGTCCCCTGTTAGTTTTTTACCATCTTTGTTCCATTGGGCAGATTTTCCTTCACTTCCTGTCCCATAACCAAAATAGGAAGTGAGAGGAAATTCCTCCAAAAAGTTCCTCTCTTCATGTTCTGGTGATAACCCAAACAATTGTGATTTTCTGTTACTTTTACTCTTGGTGATAACTGTAAACAGGACTAGTAAAGAGGTTGAATCCCTCTAATGGGGGCACAGACAGCAATACAAACCTGACACATGTTCTAATCCCTCTCCACTCTACCCAAAACCAAAAAAAGTTTTGCCTTTAGTTATAATTTAAAGCAAATATGATGAGCATATGTGTGCATGATAGCATGTGCATTCCCTGTTTGGAATTATGCACAATATTATTATAATTATTATACATGATTTATATAGTGCCAACAATTTACGCAGCGCTTTACAATACACATGTGAATTGCATAATCCAAATAAAGAACAACAACCTATTTCCAAAACATACTTCCAGTCATAAGAAATAAAAATGTACCGTATTTCTCGCTCCATAAGACGCACTTTTTTCCCCTCAAAAAAGGGGGGAAAATGTCAGTGCGTCTTATGGAGCAAATATGGAGGTCCGGTATTTCCACCGCCGCCGTGTCAGAATACCGGGCCGGCCGCTCAGCTCTGCAGCGGGACCTTATGGAGATGACTGCTGACCTTTGGGGAGGTGGGGAGCGGGTACCTGAATTTGACAGGTACCCGCTCTTACTTCCGCGGAGTTGTTCTTTGACCTTACCTGTTCCTCTATCCAGCGGCGCGCTGTCTTCCTGGCTTCTGTAGTGTGGGAGCTGGGCTTGACAGCCGGGTGCCAAGTGCGCATGCGCAAGAAGCGGTGCTTTTGTGAATGGTAAGGCGGTACCTGGGACACATGACAGATCCCAGAAGTCGCCGGACCAATCACAAAGCGCAAGTGTTTCTCGCTCATGCGCACCTGGGCACCCGGCTGTCATGCCGAGCGCCGACACTACAGAACTCCGCAGAAGTAAGAGCGGGTACCTGTCAAATTCAGTTACCCGCTCCCCCTCCCTCCCCAAAGGTCAGCAGTCATCTCCTGTACTGTCCGCAGTCTCTGGTCATCCCTGTGCTGTCCGCAGTCTCTGGTCATCTCCTGTACTATGTCTGCAGTCCATTAGTTCAGAATTGTTTTTTCCTGTTTTCTGCCTCTAAAACCTAGGTGCGTCTTATGGTCAGGTGCGTCTTATGGAGCGAAAAATACGGTATTATTTACATTGTGTTTAACATTTTTAAATCTGAATATTGTTCCTCATTAATTAGTTCATTGATGAGTTTTCCTTGTTGATGAATTAAATAATAAACATTTGTGACTATGGTGATCTCAAAAAACAATATTGGCATTTCATATTTAATCTTAATTAGCCATGCTATTACTCCAGTCATACATGATTTGTAATAATAATTGTTGCAGAATTTGTTGATGCTTAGAACATGCCATATTAGTGATCCTACATATCTGAATGATGGTAATCCTGCTAAACAGCTTAAAATGCACCCCTGCGATCAAGGATCAATAAATGTGTTTTATAATCTAATTCATGTTTTCTTTAATTAGAGTGCAAAGAAATAAAAATGTATTAGACAGAACACTTATTAATATTTATGAATGGCTGTTGCATACTTTCATTTCATTAGTCCCATAACACAGTGCTGATGCATGTGCTCAGCCTTGCTCAGGAATGTGCATGCATCCATACGCACATTCCCCTCACTGATAGTCATTGCCTGCACAATTTGTAAAGCCTATCTTATTTAAAAGTTGGTGGAGTGAATAGCTAATATTGATACTTGAATCAATCAAGTCATACCAGTAGCAAATCCAGCATTTGCCATTGATCCTAGTTCACTCAGAAGGCCACTTACCAGTTTAATTCCAGACCCCTAAAACAGGAAACATGGGCTTCCTTCTCTCTGAGTTTCCTCCAGTCACTTGGTGGGATACATTGGAGATCCCACTTTTAAGATTGCAGGGGGCTGTGGGACGGGAATCCCCGTCTGTCATTATTAAAGAAGAACTTCACCCCCTATGTTATTTATTATGTTGTTTATCTTTCCAATCTTATTTCGTTTACTGGGTCATCCTCAAAATACATACTCACACGTCCGGTAAATCCATTGTTGTCATGGTGTAATCTGCAGGAGGTTGCTGCACACCAGGCTCCCCGTTTCCATCTTCTTTGCTTATGTCTTCAGGAGACAGATTCTGGGTTCTTGTATTCTAGTGTGCCCTGAAGCCTTCTGAGATGGATGATGTGAGAATCTCAGGAGGCTTCGAGCAGCTGGGAACATTATTGTATCTGTGATTTTTTTTAAAGGAGGGGCAATAATATTTAAATTAAAAAAAGGGAGTGAAGGTTTGTGCTAGGTGGCTTAGCAAAAGAGTAGTATACTTCCTTATTCAGCTCTATCCTTCCTATTATGGTAATGATGTCCCATGGTAGGCAATCCTCTACAGCTCTAAAAGTAGGTGCCCTGCTGCTTGTTTAGGGGACCCTACTGCCACTCTATAAAGAAAATAGGGAACTGGTAAATGTTCCTTTACACCAGTGGTAGTCAACTTACTTGATATAGGGTCCTCAAGTGCGCCCTTTGACATCACCAAAGGGCACATAGTATTCAATGAATGTATTGCTACAGAAAGCTGAGGTACAGTAGTTAGAGACTTCTATAGAGAATGCTATAGTAGTAGTTGGAGTCTAAAGCCTGGTACAAACTAGTAGTTTGTTTTGTTTAACCTGTACTGACAATCCAATGTTAGTACAGCTATCTCCCTCGCTGAGCTGTTGTGTTCTAACAGGGGATAGCCCCCCCACCAGAACACTCCAGTCAGTGCTCTCAATCATTGGCTGAGAACGCTGATCGGAGGCTGATTAGCAGACCTTTTTTTGGTCACGCCCCTTCGACCAAAAATGGCTGAATGGCCGGCTTCTGTCAGACCAGTTGCCGTACACACGGGCTGAATGTCGGTTGGTTTTTATTGAACCGGCCGATGCCACCTGACATTCGGCCCATGTGTACAAGGCTTTAGGATGGGCTTCAATAGACAGTTGTAGACTGGAGACACATTGGGGATGATTTACTAATACTGAAGTGTGCAAAATCTGGTGAAGTTCTGCATAGAAGACAATAAGCTTTCAGGTTTTATTGTCAAAGCTTAATTGAACAAGCTGAAGTTAGAAGCTTATTGGCTACCATGTAGAGCTGCACCAGATTTTGCACTCTCCAGTTTTAGTAAATCAAGCCTAATAACTGCTAGAGTTATTCCAGGCTTTTACCAGTTATTATTATTATAGAGGATTTATATAGCGCCAACAGTTTGCTCAGCGCTTTACAATATAACGGGAGACAATACAGCAACAATACAGTTCAATACAAGAGGGAAAGGAGGGCCCTGCTCCTTAGAGCTTACAATCTAGGAGTTCTCTTGTTATACCTGACTAAATGAGTAATGCGGTCTGTTCCACCAAATTTTCAGAGTTTATAATATTCAGTCATGTCTAACAACTGACAATTAAAACCAAATAACTAAACCACTGAATAGTATTATATCTGATTAGTCAAATAATTTATTGTTTGCTGAATAGGGTATATGTAAGATTTATTTTAAAGAATGTCACATTTACAAGTGCAAATACTTTCAACATATTCATATAGTGATTTTTTTTCTAAAAAATCCCTTTGCTTGAAATAACCCTAAATGAACCATTTCTAATTTGGATTTTCATTGTACGAAAACCAAATCCCAGATACTGTCCTCTTGTCATATTTGCTCATCCACTGCACAATCATGTGTGCAGGGATGTCAATGAGCAAGTATTATTTTTTACCAGCAGAGTGAACCCTGCTAACCCTTATCATTGAACCAGAGGTGATGATGAGTCTAGGGAGCTCAGTATCTGCCACCGGAACCCAATGTCCATGGAGTATGTATGTTCTTTCCTTATTTGTATGTATTTCCAGTTTCCACATACACTTCAGCATAATAGAAAGTTGTAATAGACTTATGTAGAGAAGCATATGTAGATAGTTGTTTCTAGCCTGGTTTAAAATAGCAAATTTTCTAGCTTTAAGCTATGCAGTGACAGCACACCCCAGGAAACCCACAATATTCCATCTACTTTCCTGCTAACCCTACACTCCCTGCAATGTATTTCTGGTACTTCGGCGAGCTATCTGCCCCTATATAACCTTGAGCTATGGCTAGAGAGGAACACCTAGTACCCCTTTTCCTGCAGATACAGCATATCTGTTACAAAAGTTTGATACCAAAGCCATACTTTTTTTTACCTTTTAATAGGAAATCAAAACTCCTTTATAGTCAGCTTTTGTACTTTGCAAGGCTGATTTTTGCAGACTTCCAGTATATTGTTTGTGTGTTTTGTTTCAAAATGTAAAAAAAACACTTGAACTAGAAAATTGCAAATTTCCTGGTTTTTACGTGAAGTATGCAAGCCACAGACAGCCAGGTAACTACAATTTTCTTAAAAAGGCTCAGCAATGGCAGCCTATCATCTTCTCTCTGGCCACATTTGTGTTATTTGGCTCGTGACCAAATTGGTCTTGTAAGTTAATGTTTGTGTGACTGTACTAGAGACATAGGATATTCACTCCATGTTATGTGTATTAAAAGTTCATACATTTGGTGTCTTTTGTACTTTTACACAAAGGGATTTTTGCATAGTGTAAGGTCCTTAGTATTGAAATATTGAAATATTGTTTTATTCAGCATTGTTAGCTGAAGCAAAGCATCCTCAACGTATGTTCTGCAGATAAGTGCGTGCACAGAACAATTCCAGAGTCAGCCAGGCAGACTAAATAGGGATCACTGATGCATACTACCAGCATGTTTTCCTGAGCAATGCTTCATGCGTTGGTGATATGTGACTTGTGTGTTGATGTGTGATGAAGCATGAGCTGTGTGTTGAGCCTGGACATTTTGATGTGAATGTGAAAATACATTCTTGTTAAACTATATATACCTCAAATACACAGCAGAGATAGTTTTTTGACTAAAATAGAACATTTAAGAGGATATTTAATTTATATAGTTACATAGTTATTCTGGCTGAAAAAAGACAAAAGTCCATCCAGTTCAACCATTAAAAAAAAAAATATATAATCCTATACCCACAGTTGATCCAGAGGAAGGCAAAAAAAAACCCAAAAAACAGCAAAGCATGATCTAATTTGCTCCTGCTGGGAAAAATTTTAATCAAAATCTAGTTTGTGGAAATACTCTTTAATAAAACAGATACCTCCTTAACTCCTCAGGGTTCCACAGGGTGAAAGATATGATTGCATAATAGTAGATACGCAGTGGGGTTCTATGGAAACCTTTCAGTTAGCATAGTGGCTATTCAGTGAGGTAAGTGAATGCAGAGAAATCCCACTCACTTTGAATACAATCAAATGTGCAAGAAAATGTAAATGAAACCAATCACACGTAGAAGTTAGAAAAACAGGATTTTGCCGTGCACATGATTGGATGGTTGAAGTCCACTTCACTTTATTCACTAAGCTATATGAACATTCTCTACTCGATTAGGAAGTCAGCCTCAGTGGGTCTTTAAAACAGTCCTTAAAGGACTGGAAGCATCAGAGGAATGAAGGTACTGTTGATTATAAAGTAGGGATCCCTTCATATTACTAGACAGCTTTTGCAAACACCTAGAGAACTTCCATCTAATGTAGCAAAGAACTATTGTAGACCCTGGTCAATGGGCCTTGGACTTATGCTGATGGAATCAGTTTTGACATCAGTTTGAGATGCCTCTGAAATTATTCAGAATTCAGTGACAGGTATATTTGACCTGCAGTTGAGCTCTTTTGACTTAAATCAAGAAGGGTTTTCATAGCCATAGATTTGCATAGGAACAAACTTGAAGCAAACAAAAGTC